TTCAGCTCAAGGCTAGCACTCTACCACTTGAGCCACAGCGCCACTTCCAGCTTTTTTCTTTTTGCTTATATGGTGCTGAGGAATCGAACCCAGGGCCTCAAACATGCAAGACAAGTGCTCTACCACTGAGCCAACTTCCCAGCCCCCCATTTTAGACTTTTTTTTTGTCAGTTGTGGGGCCTGAACTCTGGGCCTGGGTGCTGTCCTTCAGCTCTTCAGCTCAAGGCGAGTACTCAACCACTTGAGCTATGGCACCACTTCCGGCTTTTTCTGCATATGTGGTGCGAAGGAATTGAACCCAGGGCCTTATGCATGCAAGGCGAGCACTCTACCACTGAGCCAGCCACCTTTCCAGCCCCTATTTTAGACTTTTAAGCTCAAAATTAAGGCTACATTTCTCTCCCTCTCCTTTTCTCTCTCTCCCCCTCCCCTCTCTCTGTTGGTCATGGGGCTTGAACTCAGGCTAGCACTTTACCAGTTTAAGCCACAACTCCACTTCCAGTTTTCTGGTGGTTAGTTGGAGATGAAGTCTTAAGAGACTTTTCTGTAGGGCTGACTTTGAACTGTGATCCTTAGCTCTCAGACTCCCGAGTAGCTAGGATTACAGGCATGAGCCATCAGCAGCACCTGGCTCAGATTTTTTTTCCCTCTAGTTCCTTAGAACTAGTGAGGAAAAATATGAGTACTTAATAAACATGTAGAATTGGGGATCAGGAGGCCTGACTATAAACTGTAATGTATTTTGTTGCTGGTGGTGGTTGTGGGGCTTGAACTCTGGGCCTGGGCACTGTCCATGTCTTCAGCTCTCTTCAGCTCAAGGCAAATGCTCTACCACTTTGAGCCACATTGCCATTTCCAATTTTTTTTTGGTGTTTAATTGGAGAGTCTCACAGACTTTCCTGCCTAGGTAGGCTTTGAACCAAGAGCCTCTTAGCCTCCTGAGTAGCTAGGATTACAGGTGTGAGCCATTGGCGCCTTGCAACTGAAATGTATTTTTAAGGGACATAGAATAGAAGTTGTAACCAAATACTTTACTGAAAACTTTTAAATTAAAAAATGGTTGACATATTGGACTTATGATTCTAAATGTCTTGAAATAATTGCATAGTGTTAAATAATACTGTTTTTATGTTTTGGGGATTTGTTTGAAAGTAACTTAAAAGAGCTAGAAAAAAGTTCAAAGATCCACTAGGCTAAGTAAATTACTTTTTTTTAACCTTGTGAAGCAAATGTATGCTTTTCCTTTCTTGCAGAGTTGAACAATGACCATAGTTGACAAAGCTGAATCTTCAGGCCCGCCAGCCTATCAGAACCAGCCTGGCAGTTCTGAGGCTGTCTCACCTGGAGACATGGATGCCGGCTCTGCCAGCTGGGGTGCTGTGTCTTCGTTAAATGATGTTCCAAACCACACACTTTCTTTAGGACCAGTACCTGGTGCTGTAGTTTATTCGAGTTCATCTGTACCTGACAAATCAAAGCCATCACCACAGAAGGATCAAGGTACTACATGGGAAAGGAATGACTGCCAGACTTGGGTACCAGAATTTAATCCTACTTATTCAAGAGGCTGAGATTGAGGATGGCAATTCAAAGCAATAAACCACCAAAAGCCAGAAGTGGGCGTGTGGCTCAAGTGGTAGAGCACTAGCCTTGAGCAAAAAAGCTAAGGGACAGTGCCCAGGCCTTAAGTTCAAGTCCCAGGACCTGCACAGACAAAGAAATTCAAATAAAATTTTTGAAAATTCCTACCAGAAACCACTCTTTAAATGTTTTTAGGAAGTTGGTCATTTCAAAGAGGGACTTATTTTGCAAGAGATATTGCTTCCTGGGAGGAGAGAACTACTTAATAGTCTCATTTTCTGCTAATGAATATTCATTCATTACTAGTATGTATCACAACAAGGCATATTATTCTTAGATACTAGCATGAGTAATTTCTGTTACCTACTCAGTTATATTTGAAGGAGAAACTTTATCTTAGAGATAAATAGACCTTGTTCAATTAACCAGTAGTTGTTACAGTTCCTTAAACAACTATCTATCTTAAAATTTTAAGATTTTTTTTTTTTAGGTCGGTTGTGGGCCCTGAACTTTGGGCCTGGGTGCCATCCCTCAGCTCTTCAGCTCAAGGCTAGCGCTCTACCACTTGAGCCACAGTGCTACTTCCTGCTTTTTCTGCTTATATGGTGCTGAGGAATCAAACCCAGGGCCTCATGCATGCAAGGCAAGCACTCTACCACTGAGCCACCTCCCCAGCCCCTTAAGATTTTTTTTATAGTGCTTATCTTTAGACAGATAGATTCTACCTCACTTTTTTTAAGTGTAAAAATTAAAAAAAAAATTGGCTGTGCTGAGATTTGAACTCAGAGCCTCATGGTAGACACTTTACCACTTGAACTGTCCTACTCCCTCCTTTTTTTTCCCCATTAAAATGTTCTGTCACTCCTGTAATTCTAGCCACTCAGGAGGTTGAGATGCAGTTCAAATCAGAACAAGCAAGAAAGTCCATTCTCATCTCCAACTAACCATGAAAAAGCCAGAAGAGGTACTTTGGTTCAAGTAGTAAAGGGCTAACCTTGAGCTCAGGGATAGTGTCCAGGCCCTGAGTTCAAGCTTTAGGAACAGCTCAAAAAAAAATCATCTAAAGTAATAAGACTCTGAAAGAGGGCAGATAATATAAATGCTGCATTTGCTAAAATAAGGTAAATGTGGTTGTATTTGTTAAAATTTATACAGGTAAACAAGACCTTGCTACTTATAAGACTTTTGGATTTGATTACTTGAAGATATTTAAAATGTAAAGGGGCTGTTGTTAGGCTTAGAATAGTTTGACCCCTAGGCTATTTTGAGTTCTTAGTTTGGTTATGAGCTACAAGAATGAGTGCTTCAGTTTGTTAGAAAAAAGTTTGAGTCACCTAATGCAGTTCACTTAGGAGAGTGTTACCCATAGAAGTTTAAGGTCCTTTGACTTTCTCATCAGGGAGACAGGACATTTTTCTCCTGTCATATTGCAGAACTCTTTACTCTCCCTGAGGACTCCCTGCATCCCTGTTTTGTATTTTTTTTTTCTCTACAGACTCATTGCTCTTTTTCTACCTTTGTCCCTCATTTCCCATTGAGGTGAAACCTGCTTTTGCTTCACTAATTCCTATAAGTAATCACTGACCTGTCTTTTAATTATATAAATGTAATTATAAGGAAATATTATGTGGCCACCAGGCAACTTTGACATTTATTAACTCATGCTCAAATGTATGTGAGCGCAGACACACACATAAGTGCATGTACACATACACACCCATTTAGTTTTTTTATTTTCCTTGGTACTGGGGTTTGAATTCAGCCTCTCACTTGGTAGACAGGTGCACTGCCATTTGAACCACACTGTACCTGGTCTTCCCCAATATTTTAATGCAATTCCAGTATTTCGTATCTTATCTACTTTTAATATTTTAGTATGAATCTAGAGAATTCTTTTCTAAAAATTAAAGTATCTTTATATTAAAAATCCAGTGAAGCCTGGGCTGTGAAGTCTGTAAGACTCTTAATATCCAATTATTCACAGAAAAAGCCATAAATGGAGCTGTGGCTTAAGTGGTAGAACATTAGCCTTGAATGGAAAAGCTCAGAGATAGCGCCCAGGCCCTGAGTTTAAGCCTCATGACTGACAAAAAAAAAAATGAAGTGGTGCTGTGGCTTAAGTTGTAGAACACTAGCCTTGAGCTGAAGAGCTGAGGGACAGCGCCCAGGCCCAGAGTTCAAGCTCTATAATGGACCGCCCCCCCAAATGAAAAAGAAACAAACATCCAGTCAACATTCAAATTTCCCTGTTTGCTCTGCTTTTTTTTTTTTTTAATAGTTGGTTGGTTGTTGAAAGCAGCATCTAATTAAGCTATATTTTGTATCTGCTGGCTATCTTTCAAGATTACTTTAAATTGTAGCCTTCCCCTTTTTCATCAATTTATTGAGGAAACCAAAGTATTATACAGTTTCTCACATTTTAAATTTTATCTTTCAAGACATCCCTTTCTCCCTGTATTTGTAACAAGCTGGTAATGAGATTTAGAATCTTGGTCAGATTCAGCTTTGATGAATAGCTTTGATATTTATTTCACTTCAGGTGCTTGCAAATCTTTTGTTTTTAAATCTTTGCTCTTTATTTTTTAGTCCTAGGTGATGGCATTGCTCCTCCACAGAAAGTTCTGTTCCCATCTGAGAAGATTTGTCTTAAGTGGCAACAAACTCATAGGGTTGGCGCTGGGCTCCAGAATTTGGGTAACACTTGTTTTGCCAATGCAGCATTGCAGTGTTTAACCTACACGCCACCCCTCGCCAATTACATGTTATCACACGAGCACTCCAAGACATGTAAGTGTTCCATGCTTGTTCCATGTTTGTAGTATCGTGTTTTTATTTGTTTTTCAAGATCACTAAGAAGTTTTTTTTTTTTTTTAAAGAAACTGAGGAGTACTCTTAGGATTTATTTTCAAGTTGCATAAGAAACACTTTGCACTAACACCTAATGCCTATTCACCTAATGCCTATTTTATCATCATTTGGCACTTCAGAGCCCCCTCCCTGCTAGTGTGAAAGACATTAGTAAATGCTCCATAATGTCTAGTGTGAACAGCTTGGGACCAGTAGAGTTAAAAACTACTATCTCTTCATTTATCTTGTGTTGGAAGTCTGGATTTATTTTCAGACCAAGAGGATAGTCATCTCTTATCACTGCTCCCATTCTCCTGCAATTCACATACTCTGTTTTAAACCCACTGAGTAGAAAGTCTTTTTTTTTTTTTGGGTCCAGTCATGGGGCCTGAACTCTGGGCCTGGGCGCTGTCCCTCAGCTCTTCAGCTCAAGGCGAGCACTCTACCACTTGAGCTACAGTGCCACTTCCGGTTTTCTGGTGGTTTATTGGAGATAGGAGTCTCACAGTCTCTCCTGCCTGGGCTGGCTTTGAACCGTGATCCTCAGATCTCAGCCTCCTGAGTAGCTAGGATTACAGGCGTGAGCCACCAGCGCCCGGCTCACTTTTGGCTTTTTTGGGTGCTTAATTGGAGATGATGTGGCATGAGCTACAGGCATCAGGCTTATATACTATATTGCTTTACTCTGCATAATTATTTCAACATTGTGTTTGTCACATGTATCAGGGCTTCATTTTATTGCTGAGTAGTATTCTGTTGTCTGAATTATATACAACAGTTTGTTTTCCATTAACCATTGATAACATTTGTATGATTTCCCTGTTGGGGTCACCATAAATTAAACTGCCACAAACATTTGCAAACACGTTTTGGTCAGCACCTATTTTCATTTCTCTAGGGTACATAATTAGATTTCCCAAGGTGATGGTAAGGAGTTCCACTTATACCCTGTAGTGAATGCAAGTTCTGTTTGTTCTATATATGTTCTAATACATGGTGTGGACAGTCTTTTTAATTTTAGCCATTTTAATGGATATGTAGCAAAGTAGTATCTTATTTTGGTTTGAATTTATGTTGAATATCTTTCTTTTCTTTTTCTTTTTTTGTCAGTTGTGGGGCCCGAACTCTGGGCCTGGGGCTGTCCCCCAGCTCTTCAGGTGTAGACCAGTACTCTACCACCTGAGCCTCAGCCCCACTTCTGGCTTTTTCTGCTTATATGGTACTGAGGAATTGAACCCAGGGCCTCATGCATTCAAGGCAAGCACTCTACCACTGAGCCAGCTTCACAGCCCCAGGACTGTACATTTAAGACTAGCTGGGCGGGCTAGGAAGGTGGCTCAGTGGTAGAGAGCTTGCCTTGCATGCATGAGGCCTTGGGTTCGATTCCTCAGCACCACATAAGCAGAAAAAAAAAGCTGGAAGTGGCACTGTAGCTCAAGTGGTAGAGTGCTAGCCTTGAGCTGAAGAGCTGAGGGACAGCACCCAAGCCCAGAGTTCAGGCCCACGACCGGACCACCCCCCAAAAAAAAAAAAAAGTACAGTTCTCCTGTTTTAGATTCTGATGTGGTAGGATTATAAGTGTGTGCCACTAGGTACACCTAGCTCTCTGTCTTTTGAAGAATTCATTTTATTTTGAGAGCTGGTTATGTTTTCCTTTTATCAATTGTATATAATTGCTTTTTTTTTTGTTCGGCCGTGGGGCTTGAACTCTGGGCCTGGGCGCTGTCCCTCAGCTCTTCAGCTCAAGGCGAGCACTCTACCACTTGAGCTACAGCGCCACTTCTGGTTTTCTGGTGGTTTATTGGAGATAGGAGTCTCACGGTCTCTCCTGCCTGGGCTGGCTTTGAACCGTGATCCTCAGATCTCAGCCTCCAGAGTAGCTAGGATTACAGGCGTGAGCCACCAGCGCCCGGCGTATGTAATTCTTATATTAAGAAATCTTTGGGCTGGGAAGGTGGCTCAGTGGTAGAGTGCTTGCCTCGCATGCATGAGTTCTTGTGTTCGATTCCTCAGCACTACATACACAGAAAAAACCAGAAGTGTACACTATGGCTCAAGTGGTAGAGTGCTCGCTTGAGCTGACGAGCTCAGGGACAGTGCCCAGGCCCAGAGTTCAAGCTCCATAACTGACCCCCAAAACAAAACAAAACGAAACAGCCAGGCACCAGTGGCTCATGTCTGTACTCTTAGCTACTCAGGAGGCTGAGATCTGAGATCTCTGTTCAAAGCCAGCCCAGGCAGGAAAGTCCACTAGAAAACCAGAAGTGGCTCTGTGGCTCAAGTGGTAGAGGGCTTGCCTTGAGCTGAAGAGCACAGGGACAGCACCCAAGCCCAGAGTTCAAGCCTTACAACCAACAAAAAAAGCAAAGCAAAGAAAAGAAATCTTTATTAGCCAGGATCTGGTGGCTCATGCCTTAATCCTGGCTACTCAGGAGACTGAGATTTGAGGATCATGGTTTGAAGCCAGCCCAAGCAGGAAAGTCTGTGAGATTCTTATCTCCAGTTAATCGAAGAAAAAGCCAGAAGAGGCACTGTGGCTCAAGTGGTAGACTGCTAGCCTTGAGCAAAAGGAGCTCAGGGACAGCCACCAAGCCCAGTGTTCAAGCCCCAAGTCTGGCAATGATAATAATAATAATCATAATAAGATGAAGAAATCTTTTTTTTTTTTTTGGTCCCATTGTGGGGCCTGAACTCTGGGCCTGAGCACTGTCCCTCAGCTCTTCAGCTCAAGGCTAGTGCCCTACCACTTGAGACACAACGCCACTTCCGTTATGTGGTGCTGAGAATCGAACCCAGGGCCTCAGGCATGCAAGGCAAGCTCTCTACCACTGAGCCACCTTCCCAGCCCCGAAGAAATCTTTACTTAATCAGAAGTCACCTGAGATTTTTTCCCCAATATTTTCTTTTTTTTTTTTTTTTTGTCGGTCGTGGGCCTTGAACTCTGGGCTTGGGCGCTGTCCCTCAGCTCTTCAGCTCAAGGCGAGTGCTCTACCACTTGAGCTACAGCGCCACTT